GGGGAGGGAGGGGAAAAATGAGGACCTAATGCCGGGGGCTTAAGTGGAGAGGAAATGTTTTGAGAATGATGAGGGCAATGAATGGACAAATGCGTTTTACACAATTGATGTATGTATGGATTGTGATAAGATTTGTATGAGCCCCTAATAAAATGATTAAAACAAAACCCTGAAGCCCATTCTGAACTTGCTGCCCTCATGTGGATTATGACTCATAGGGACCCTAAGGGTCAGGGTAGAACTGCCCCTGGGAATTGCTGTTTATGGGAGTAGAAAGCCAAGCCTTTCTCCTGTGGAGTAACTGGTGGGTGCAAACATAAAAATGAATGAAAAAGAAAAAGAAAATTTAAATCACTTACCAATTTCTTGTGCTGAGAGAGGATTTAAATTTGCTGCAGAATAATTTTCATTAAACTGAAAAATAATTGTAATTAAATATTGTGAAATCAGTAAAATATACATATACTATTTATACTTAAATTTACATAGCAAAGTACACATAAAACAAGTTTTGCCTTATAAACCTAGTTATTTTAACGAAATTAGGATGTAATAAAAACCTTTTATATAGTATATTATTGTGCTTAAAAAAGTGTATCTTCAAATCAACCTGTCATTTACTTACAAAATAAGACTTCCAAATTAATGGATGGATTGGGAATGGATTCAATATTAATAAGCAATATATAGTAAAGATTATTTCTACTTTAGCATACTAATATGACCTAATATTCTAGTCAACATTATACTTTATTCTGAAGGCCGCAGCACTTTAGGTTAATGATACTGCTTTTTCACCTATAAAAACAATAAGAAGTTTGATAACTTCATGTCAGTTAGGATCAAGTTCTGCTAACAAAAGAATACTTTTTCTGCAAAGCAGACTTAAAAAAATATAATCCTAATATTTGTGAGTGTTTTTCCATTTTGCTATTTATCAAACATGGTAATGACAATACAGTGCTCTGCATTGTGGACATGTATGTGGCGTAGTAAAGAAGTACTTGCCTGCTACCTAAAAGCTGGCAGGCTGAACACAGAAGTCATGGAAGAAAGACTTGGCAGCCTACTTCCTTATACTTTAAAGCCTTGGTAAATTTATTCTGTAGTTCTACTATGACCTATAGGGTTGCTATGAGTTGTAATGGACTGTATGAATTTTAACAAATTATGGGTAACATGTTGAATAAATATGGGGCAAAGATATAATTCTGATGTACACTTTTCCTGATTTTAAGCCAATTGGTATTCCCCTGTTCTCTCCTAACAACTGCCTCTTAGTCCATGTACAGGGGATGGAAGTGTTTGGGAATTGACATTCTTCAAAATGTTACCCATACTTTGTGATGATCCATACAGTAAAAAACCCAGGTAAACACCTTTCTGGTATTCTTAGCCAAAATCCATGTGACATCAGTAATAACATTCCTCCTTTCATATCCTCTTTGAGCTTGAATTTCTGGTAGTTCCCTGTCATCGAGCTACTGTTTAATTGTTTTCAGCAAAAGTTTACTTGCATGTACTCTATTGCCTCTTTTATGGAATCTGTTACATACCAAGGAACTAAAAATGTACTTGGGTTTACAGTGTAAAATTTATAGAAATATAAAGTTCCACTAGCTTCTCATATACCTGATCGGATGAGTTTTCTGAATCAAATATAGAAGAATCAAATAAATTCAATCCAGGAGATCTAGAAGTATAACTCAAAAGAAAAGAAATTTCTGGGGATTCTTTTTGTGTTTGAGCTTCAGGCACTATTTTTCTATTTCTGTTACAGAAAAATAAGAAATCATTAAAATTATTTTCAAAATATATTATTAAACATTATAGACTGATGAGCACTATAAGCAACAGCATAGAGGTGAGAATTAGAATGGTAGGAAACAGTAGGGAGTAGTTAAATAACAAATCTAAGAAAATATGGTTTTAGGTGGAGAAAAATGTAAAACAATCAATTTGGAAATAATAGTACTTAACACCTACTGATACTGTACTGTCATTCTCTATTCCAGGTACTTCCAAAGCCATTAACATTTCTCACCACAACCCCAGGAAGTAGGTCATACTTTGTCACTTCCATTTTACAGAAGAGGATATTGAAACATAAAAAAGTTAAATGATCTTCATAAAGGCATGTAAGTGTCAGAACTGGATTTGAATGGAGCAATCTAGATTCAATGTCCAAGCTCTAAGCTCTTGAAAACCAATCACAAAATTTTAATCTCAATGTGAAGCCAGGCATTACAAATTATTGTATTAAGGAGTTAAATAATAAAAATAATAATTTGGGAGAAATAGACAAAGTATTATATAAAACAGTGGTTAAAAACATGGATTCTAGAGCCACACTGCCAAAGCTTCAATATCAACTCTATGATCAACTAGCTGTACCACTTGTGACTCTGTTTCCTCATCTATAAAATAATAATGTACCTGATATCTCTTAAGGATGCTGTAAATATCAAATGATCAGTTTATAAAATACATAGGATAGTGGCTTGCACATGTTTGGTAATACTTAAGTGTTTATAATATAAAACATAACAAACGGTACTGCCAAACTAGATGTATTATCTTGAATGAATCACTTAATTTCTATAGGCCAGAGTTTTGTCATTAGCAAAGACAGGTTTTACATATGATCACATTCTTTTTCAGATTCTCAGACCTGATGAGATCCACATCAAGCATGGGCTTGAGTTAACAAAATTATATTTATATACAAAACTCTTATTAGCAATTTAAAAGTAGTACACAGGTCCCTGATGACATAGCTTAGAAGAATTAGAATTTAGCACTAAAAAGTTAAGTGCAGCACTATTTTCTTGGCTATATATTACAAATTTATGAACTCCAAATTTATTAATTAACCATAATGGAAATATTTGTACTCCCAAATTGTATTTACCAGAATGAAATGATTGCTTCAGACACTAGAATATATGGAAAATAACTAGAATATTATTCAGTAATAGGTCCGTAATAACCATATGTGGTAATAGTTTTAGAATTTAACATTTTAAATTCTTCCAGAATTTAAAAAATCTTTTGGAAAATATTAAATCCATAAACTATGTATTGTCCTAGGTAAGTAATCAGGATCTATGCCATCTTAAGCTACATATTATAGGAAAATTTTCTTTCTTTTTTTTATATAGGACAATTTTCAGAGAATTTATAAAAAAAGGAAACAGGACAGTAACTGTTCAAAATGGGTGACAGATACATTGTAATTCATTATACTAGTCTCTTTTCTCTGTACATTTGAAATTTTTCATAATGAAAACTTTTCATTACAGACAGTAAAGAATTTCACTACTTCCATAAATTATTTCTATAATTTAATATGTACATACTTTAATTATAATTATAATAATTATGTAATAAATAATTAAAATCCTACATTTCAGCTGATGGTGTTTTAGGATCCTGAAATTTCTGTAAAGATTCAAGTGCTTTTGCAGTTTCAGAAGTTCTTAAAGGTAAAGGATTTTCAGTTTTTTGAAAATTCTCAGAGATTTCTTCTACTTCATTATTTTTATTTTCTTCTGGCTTCTCAAAGTGCTCTGAATATGTAGCCTGCAAATTCAGACAACAGAAAACTATAAAAAGGAATGTTACTATATTAAAAAATTCATCTATGATCATACTGCTACTTCACATGAAAAATATAAATTGTAAGATATGTAAGTAAAAATTTACTATCTACTTATTAAATTCATAAGTAAAATATAAATATGTGAAAATGATACAATATTAATGTCAAAACTTGAAACACACTTATTTTAAAATATCTGATTACCTCCTCTCCCCAGTTTTATCTTCCCTCATCCCTTCCTGAAAAAGTAAATAACCAGAACATACTCAAAATGAGGAAAATGTTCAGAAATTTTTTTTAAACTTTTCCATATTAAGCTCTCTTGGTGAAAGACTTTTTGTGCTACCTCCTTGAAAAGGAGCAATTTACTTTGAAGCAATTTTGACCTCATTGTTTTATTATAGGCTTTGCAAATTTTTGCCATTGTTAATGATCATACTATTAGAGTTTAAATTCTAAGCTCTAGGTTTGTAGCAGGATACAGTTACAGTGAACAGGGACTGTAGTGGGTTATGTGTTGGGCTGCTAAATGCAAGGTCAGTTCACAAAGTGTGAAACCACCACCTGCTCTTCAGGAGACAGATCAGGCTTTCTGCTCTCCTAACGATATATCATCTCAGAAACCCACAAGGGAAATTCTACTGTCCTACTAGGTCTCTATGAGATGGAGTGGACTCAACAGCAGTGAATACATGAAGCCTCAGTTAAATTCTGATCAGTAAGCAGTAATAGCCTTGCCCTCAGGCAGAGTGCACTAGAAAGTGGATTACTAACATTTCCCTCACCAGTCCAGGAAGGGGTGGACTAGCCCTGGGTGCATCCTTGATGTAAACTGGGGTACTAGGGTCCATAGTCATGAGCCATGTCCTGACCCTACTGGTTAGAAGGTCCTGAACCAATCATATAAGATCTTCTATCTAGCCTAATATAAGTGTCCCAATCATGGTCCCCTACTTCTGTAGTCTCACCTCCAACTGTGTATTGATTCTGTTGTCAATCATGCTTTTGTGCCAGTTTCTCTTATAAACCAATCCTATTTAAATGGCCAGTTCTCTGTAACTCTTTAGATACCCTTATGGCCTTATGCTAATAGTATTGCTTTTCTAGATAAATTGTCTTTGTCCTGTTTAAGACTTAATGAATGTGTCTCTATAAATTATATTTGAATATGGAATCTTTTGTCCCCTGCAACATTATACTAGTTAAGCTGTAAAACTTGAAAACCTGAATACTAGGTTTCCATCATCATTTTCTAGGCTGGGAATGTGATTTCTCAAGTATGTTCATTATGTCAAATTCCATTATAAAAATAATTTGGATCCTCCTATCAAATGGGATTTTACCTATATTTCTTTACAGCAGAATACCAGTAAGTTGTTTCTTTTGGTTTAACTATTGCAATTGTTAGGTGCTATCAAGTGAACTCTAACTCATAACCACCCAAAGAACAACAAAAACAATGTCGAGTTCTGCATCATCCTCACAGTTGTTATGTTTGAGCTTATTGTTGTTTTCACTGTGTCAATCTATCTCCTTAAGGTTTTTCCTCTTTTTCACTAACCTTTACTTTTACCAAGCATATCCTTTTCCAATGACTGAACTCTCACTGATAAACATGTTGAAATACTTGAGGTAGTCTCCCCACCCTCTCTTAAAAGGAGCATTCTTGCTATACTTCATTTAAGATGGGTTTGTTTATTCTTCTGGAAGTCCATGGTACGTACTCTTTTTTTTTTTAATTTCAATATCTTTCAGCAATACTATAATTCAAATGCACCAACATGAGGATTTCCTTATTCATTGTCTAGCTTTCACATACATATCAGGTGATTAAAAACACCATAGTTTGGGACATGCACAATTTATTTCGTTCTCAAAGTAACATCTTTGCTTTACAACATTTTAAAGAGGTCCTGTGCAGATTTACCCAATACAATTCATCTTTTATCTTTTGACTGCTGCTTCTACTGGCATTGACTGGGGATCCAAGCAAGACAAAATCCTTAGCAACTTCAATCTTTTCTCCATTTATCATGATGTTGTCTAATGCTCCAGCTGTGAGGATTTTTGTTTTCTTCATACATTGAGTTGTAACCATATAATAAAGGCTGCAAAGTTTGATCTTTAGCAAGTGCCTCAAGTTCTCATCACTTTCAGTAAGCAAAGTTGTCATCGGCATACAACAGGTTGTTAATGAGCCTTTTTCTGATCCTGATGCTTTATTTTTCTTTATAGTCTAGTTTCTCTGATTATTTGTTCAGCAAGCAGACAAATGTGTAGTAAAAGGAAACACCTCTGGCATATATCTTTTCCTTTTTAAATTGTGCATAACCTGGTTCATACAACATCCTCTTGGTCCATGCACAGGTTGAGTACAATTAAGTGTTCCAGAATTCCCATTTAAAAATATTACCCAAATGATTTAAATTTTTAAAAAAATTACCCATAGTTTGTTATGACCCGCCCAGTCAATGTCTTTGCATAGTCAGTAAACATCTTTCTGGTACTCTCTTTCAGTCAAAATCCATGTGATGTCAGCAATATCTATCCTTTTTCTTCTGATTCTGGTTTGAATTTGACAGCTCGTGTCAGTGTAGTAGTGCAACTATTTTTAAATTGTCTTCAGCAAAATTTTAGTTGCAAGGGATATTAATGATACTGGTTCCTTCTGTTAGGTCAACTTGAAATAACTCAAAAATGAGTCTCTTGCATTGGTTGGCCAGGCAACTGTCTTCCAAATTTCCTGACAATGAGTGGGTCCTTCCAGCACTGTATCAATTTGTTGAAACATTTCACTTGGTATTCTCTAAATTCCTGGAACCTTGTTTTTCATTAATGCAGCTTAAACTTCTTCTCTCAATACCATCGGTTCTTGAACAATTGCTATCTCTTGAAATGGTTGGATGCTAACCAATTCCTTTTGGTACAGTGTCTCTATGTAGTCTTTCCATCTTTTGATGCTTCCTACATCATTAACTGTTTTGCCCATTGTGTGCTTGAATATTACAGCTCAAGGCTTGAATTTTATCTTTAGTTCTTTCAATGTGAGAGAGGATAAGCATGTTCTTCCTTTTTGGTCAATTCCAGGTTTTGTTTATTTTATTATAAAACTTTAGTTTGTCTCCCAGAGTTGCCCTATAAGATTTTCTGTTCACCTCTTTTATTTGATCATTTCTTCCATTCACTTTAGCTATGCTATGTTAAGAGCAAGTTTCAGAGTCTCTCTGACATCTGCTTTAGTCTTTTCTTTCCTACTTAGTTACTTTTTGTTTTCTTCATGGATGGTATTCTTGATGTCATATCACAATTCATCTGGTCTTGGTTCAATGGGTCAAATATGTCCTTCAAGATGGTCTTTAATTCTGGTGAGATATACTCAAGGTCTTAATTTTGCTCTCGTGGACTTTTAATTTCCTTCAACTTCAATCTGAACTTACATATGAGCAATTGATCATCTGTTCCACAGTTGCCCCCGGCCTTGTTCAGGATGATGATATTGAGCTTCTCCATCATCTCTTCCTACAGATGTAGCCAATGTGATTCTTGTGTGTTCCGTCTGGTGAAGACCACACATAGAAATTGTTTACATTGTTGAAAATAGTTACAATGAACAAGTCATTGATCTTGCAAAATTCCATCATGTGATCTCTAGCTTCATTTCTGTTTTTCAACTACTAATGCTTTCTGTTCCCAAGTTTTGCATTCCAATTGCCAATAATTATCAATGTATCTTGATTACATGTTTGGACAATTTTATACAGAGAAGTTGGGAGGATTCTTAATTTCTTCATCATTAATTTTAATGCCTGGTATGTAAATATGAATTAATAATGTATTAACCTGACTTCTTTGTAGGTATATACGAGGGGGCACCCCCACAAAAATGGAATCCCCATCAAGGCTATGTATTTAATTTTTTTACAAAACAACCTTCTCATCTTCAAAGTACTCTTTTTTTATATATAATGGTTTTGCTATATACCCCCCTATTTTCTTTTCTTTTTTAAACATTTTATTAGGGGCTCATACAACTGTTATCGCAATCCATACACATCAATTGTGTAAAGCACATTTGTACATCATTCTCAAAACATTTTCTCTCCACTTAAACCCCCGACACCAGGTCCTCAATTTTCCCCTCCCTCCCCGCTGCCCCCTCCCTCATGAGCCCTTGATAGTTTATAAATTGGTATTTTGTCATATCTTGCCCTGTCCGACGTCTCCCTTCACCT